CGCTTGAGCGCGGCCACAGGCAGCGGCGCGCCCCCTGCTGGATGCAGGGCGAGCAATTCGTGCACGACCTGGGCGGCGGAGCGCCGCACGGTCACGCCGGCCGCGGCGGGCGCGGGGGCGGCGTGTGGGAGGACGGTTTTGATGAGGACAAGTGCGACGGCGACGGCAGCGATCAGGCGCCGGGTGGGTGGCCTGCGGGTTGCGGTCAACGAGGGGGTGCGGTCAGCCCTGTCGGGGTAGGTGCCCACCCGCCTCTTGGGGGACAGAGGATCTGGCTTCTGGCAGCTGCCTGTCGTGGGTGTGCGTGCGTGTGACAGTGAGATCAGGGATTATATCAGGGCGCGCTCGTCAATGCGCCTCCTGAGGTCTCGCCCGCCCGCCCCCCCTCTCCGGCAGGCGCAGGCCGCACCCGCAAGCGCACCAGCAGCGCCAGCACCCACAGCGGCACCTCGGGCCTCGAGCACCAAACGGCGCGCGCCGCCGTCCCCGCGGCCGCGCCGGCGCCGCCGGCGCGGTGCGCGCCTGGAGGCGCCTCGGAGGCCGCGGCGCCCGCCGCGCGGCGGCTGATCGAGTGGCGCGCGCAGGAGGGGCGCGGCGCGATGGACGTCGCCGTCTTGCTGGGCGGCCAGGTGTTTGTCGGGCGCCTGTCCTCCAGGGGCCCGCTGCTCAACTGGCTGCCCCCCTCCGCCGCGCAGCAGCGGCCCGCCGCGGCTGCCGCCCCGCCGCAGCCGCCGCCGTTGGACGCGGCCGAGCAGGAGCGCCGCGCGGCGGCGGGCAGCGCGGAGCGACCCGATGGCGCCGACCTGCAGCGGCGCTGCGCGCTCTGCCGCGGCGCGGCGGGCGCGGCGGGGCTGGGGCCATTCATGCCGGTCCAGATTCAGAACGGGCAGCTGGAGTGGGTGCACCGGGAGTGCGCCCTCTGGTCGCCAGAGGTGGCGGTGGACGGCGCCGGCAGGCTGGTGGGCGGCGGGGTGCGCCTAGCGGGAATTGGGTGAAACTCGTGTGCACGCTTGCGTTTGCATATGCGTGTGTTCTTGTGAGTTTGTGTGTGTACATGTCTGTGTGTGTACTTGTCTGTGTGTGTACTTGTCTGTGTGTGTGCCTGTGTATGTCAAAGCAGCCCCGGCGCAGGTCCGGGGCCACCACCCCTTCCCATCCCTGCGCATTGGCAGCGCCCCAACCACCGCGCCCACACCCTTCCCGCGTCCCCGCGCCGCCCGCCGTGCAGGTCAACCTCGCCGCCGCGGTCCGCCGCGGCCAGGACACGACCTGCACGCGCTGCGGCCACCGCGGCGCGACTCTGCGGTGCTGGCGCCGCGCCGGTTGCGGCCAGGAGCTGCACCTGCCCTGCGCCAGGGAGATGGGATGCGCCCTGCTGGTGGGCCCCTGTGGTTCGTCCCCTATCTGTGTGTGTGTGTGTGTGTGTGCGTGTGTGAGTGAGTGTGTGTGTGTGTGTATTGGGGGGAGGGGGATTGCGCGAGGGAGATGGGATGCGTCGTGCTGGTGGGCCCATGTGACTGTCCGCCTGCCGATCGCCCTCCCAGGGGCGGCTGCTTTGCCCGCCCGCGCGCACACACCGGCCGGCGCCGTGCGCAGAGGGCGCCCCGCGCCGCTCCCTGTGCTCCCGTGGCGATGACGTCAGCATGACATCACCGGACCGGACCCCTCCCCTACCGCCACGCAGGACGCCGCGGACCCGCGGACTGGCGGCTGCGCAATCGTCGCCTGCCCCATGCACGACCCCTCCGGCGCCGGCTCCGACGCGGCGGCGCCCGGCGGCGCGCACAACCCCGCCGCGGCGGCCGCGCCCACGCTCGCGCCAGAGGAGATCGCCGCCGCGGCATTGCTGTCGGGCATCCGCCGCGCGAGCGCCGCCGGCGACGCTGCTGGCGCCGCCGGGAAGCGGCGGCGGGGGTCGTCGGAGGACGGCTCGGCGGACGCCGCGGCCAGCGACCGCACGCACCACCAGCCGCTGCGCGGCGGCGACGATTTTGAGGAGGGCGGCAGGGTCGGGTCTGGGGCGGCCTGGGAGCCGCGGCTGTCAGTGTCGTCGTCCTTTGGGGCCGCCCTCGCAATCCGCCCGGTCGCCGTCGGCCCGACCACCGCCAAGCGGCGCGCCGCCGCCGTCCCGGCGACCATCTCGCAGCCGGGGAGCGCCGCCGCCTCGCCGGCGCTGCGCGGCGCGGGCGGCGGCGGCGCGGCGCAGGCGCTGCCGCCCGTCGTACTGCCGCCGTCGGCCGCGTGCGCAGCCACGGCAGCAGGAAAATCGCTCTCCGACGCCCCAGCCGCGGCCGGCCAGTGCCACGCCGCCGCCCCGCCGCGCGCCGGCCGCTGCGCCGTGTGCGTGGTGCAGCGCAAGGGCAAGTGCGGCACCGACTCGGCCCCGAAAAAGTGCATGCGCCGCCAGCAGGCCGAGCTCGATGCGGCGGCGCTGGAGCAGCGGCTCCGGCGCCAGGTGGCGGCGCAGCAAGAGCGGCTGATCCTCGAGCAGCTGCAGTCCGCCGCGCGCCACGAGGAGGCGGCAGCGGCGGCGGCGGCGCAGCGGCAGCAGCAGCTGCTGCTGGCGGCCGCAGCGGCGGCGGAGCGTGAGCGCGCCTAGCCGCCGGGCGGGCGGGCCGGCCGACGGACGGGCGCCCCTGCGCCCGTGGTCGCACGCAGCGGCCGGCGCGCACGTGCCTCGCGCATCATCCACAGCCCGCGCAGCGTCAATCCATCCGACTGCCCGCTTTGCGGCCTCTGCTGGGCGGCGCGAGGCCCCGTTTTTCTCATTGTTTTGGCCCATCGTCGTCGGCCAATTTGGAAGCGGCCATCGCCGCGCTTACACACAACAGGTATTGAGACTGTCGCGTCGTGCTCTTCTACTCACCCCCAACCTTGTGTCCCTCCATCCGTCTCTGTTTTTCGCTGCTCCACTTTATGCCGCCCACGCACTTGCGCCCGAGGATTGGCCCGACGGGCCACTCCTGAATCACGCTCCTGAAAGACACGCACCACCCACACCCCGCCCCCTGAGCCTTTCCTCCCCCGCGCCGGCCGCCGCGCCCGCCGCGGCGCGTATTGCGCCGCGTGCTCACAAGTGGCACACCGCGCCGCGCTTTTGCATCCCCTCGTCTTGTTCTCCGCTCGTGATCGCGCAGGCGACCAGGCCCGGCCGTAGGGGCTCCATCCCGCATGTGTTCCTGTTTGTTTTGCATCAAATTGGATTGGTGAAGAAGACCAATTTGCGACGGGCGCCGCGGCGCAGGCACCATCTCGACAAGCGCCGCCCGCGCCCACCACCGTGAGCACGCGCTTGCTCGTCCCCTCACCTCTCCGTACCCCGTCCACAGCCGTGGCCCTTGCACGCCTGGCTTGCGGCTCAAAAACCAATCCACGCTCAGCACGCGACCACCGCAGCACCACACCCACACACAAGCAGCCTGCCGAGCCCTCTTTTTTGCCGTCCGCAACCCTTGCTTTTTTGTGCCACGGTACGGCCGCCCGTGCCGACACTAATTGCGCACCGCCCTGAGAGCAAGGGTGCGTGCACACACGCATGTTCCCGGCCGGACTTTTTTCATCGCCAGATTCTGGACTGGTCCTGGACTCGCCGACCCAGGGCTGACCGCCCGTTTCTTGCCGCTCGCTGCTGCGCTTGCCCCGTGCGAGCTTGAATTTATGGGGCCGGGGCAAAGGGTTGATTCAAACCCTATGGGAGAGCAGATGAGGAGCGCATGCACGTGGGTGCAAGAGGGAAAATATACAGGGGCCAAGCCTCTGCGCTGTATCCTATCTTGCTAGTGCCGCGACCTGCAAGCATGCCGAACAGCCCACATGGCTCAAGCCGGCGACCGTGCCGCGCCGCGCGCGAGGCCCGGCCGGGCCTGCGTTTGGCTGACGGATGTTGCCGGGCAGTGGGGCTGCCGCTCCCGCGGGCAGCTCGTCTGGTGGGGGCTCGGTGCATTTTTGGGCGTGCATGTGGGTGCGTTCAGAGTTCAGTGTACACATATGCCGCGTCGGTCTTGGTCGGCTCTCAATCCCATAGTGGCGGCGCCGGCGGCGCCAGCTGCGCCGCCGCGCCCGCCGGGGTGTGGGGGCCGCCTGGCGCGCGGGCAACCGCGGTCGCCGACGCGGGCGACGAAGCCCCGTAATTCGCAGCAAAAAACACTGGCGCCCCGCGGTTTTGTCGGGCTGGGTCTTCTGGCGTGCGTGCGAAAGCGCTGCGTGCCGAGCTGCGTGTACCCGGGAGCGCCGACGGCGCAGTCGCCCAAGGCCCTTGTTTCGCCGCCCCCTTCTTCCCGGACTGGCCCCAGTCCGCGGCTTTCGCGGCGCGCGAAGATCTGAGGGCGGGCGCCTGCAGCTCTGCCATGCCGCCCACCCCTTATACAATCTTTAAATCAGCCTGCTGTAAGGACATAACCAGCACTGCGTTGCAAGCCCGCATTTCGACGACCCCGACACGTCGTATATGTTTTGATGGATCCGGTGCGCCTCAAGTCAACCATAGCGGCAGACCCCATGGCCTCGACATGTACGGAGAACCAGATTAGAAGAACCTTGCGCTTATCGCTGCGGCGGCGGCCCGTGCCGCAGCAAATAAACCAACGGCGCCTGAAGCGTTGGAGATGACGATTGAACATGGGTGCGCACCTCTCTCACACGGCACAGTTTGCCCAGCACCAGCAGCCATGCTGTCGTCGATTCTGACCTATTTGCGGGGTCCCCTGCAAGCACACGTGGATCCTCAGTGGTGCCGGGCAGTCCGCGACCCACCACAGCCTGCCGAAGACTTGAGAGTCTTTGTCCGAGAGGAGCAATGTCGGATGGAGCGTTCCGAAGACGGCACAACGCTTATGCGGTGCCAAGAACGGCGGCGAGTGCTGCTGCAGGGGTGAGCAAGCAAAACGCGTCTGCCGCCATGGACCGAGCTGGTCTCTTCCCGCAATTGCTAATTGAATCCACGTGTTTTTCTCTACTTGCAGGGTCGAGATAGAGGTTCAGGAGTCGACGAGCACCCGGCCGCAGAACAACCCTGACGTCGCGGCGCCCAGCAGCATCGCTGCGCGCGCTGGGCAAACCAGCAGCAGTGGGGCGGATCCGCTGGACGCGCTCACAGTGCAGCTTCTGGATGAATTCTTTGCTTATGCCAACGAGCTGCAGCGGGGCCTGGCGAGCCGAGGTGCGCGCTGGGGTTGCAGAAACACGCACAACCTGCCTGAACTTCCTTCGACGGTCACGCTTGCCTTTGGGGCCCTGCAACCCTGCCGCCCTACCGACTTGCAAGTAGTTTGACTCAAAACTGGCGCCTATCCTATTCTGCAACATGCAATGCTACGGCTCGCCCGCTTGCCGCACAGGCGTGCTGTTGGAAACTGGGCCGCCGCCGCACAGCCGTCCCCCAGACGACGGCCTCAGCGCTGCATCGCCAAGCGCGGCCATATCAGCTGCCAGCTCAGCAGCCGGATTCAGCAGCGGGAGCGTGGAGCGGCAGGCGGCGGCGTCGGCGCCGGGCCTCTTGGAACGATGGCTCGGCTGGGGCTCGTGGGGCGCGCAGCGGCAGGAGCAACAGCAGCAGGAGGCGCACCACCACCACCAGCAGCAGCAGCAGCAGCAGCAGCAGCAGCAGCAGCAGCAGCAGCAGCAGCAGCAGCAGCAGCAGCAGCATGTGAACAGCCCGACCCGACGGGCAACGGCCAAGGAGCAAGCAGCAGAGGCGCAGTTCGCGCTCTGAGCAGCCACCCGTCTTCCTCTTGTGCGTGCTGCGCCGCGCTGCGCCCCTTCCTGTGCGTGCTGCGCCGCGCTGCGCCCCTTCCTGCACAAAATTCGTGTGGCCCGGCCGTTGACAGGTGGAGCCGTGGCCTGCGCCTCAGAACTGAGCACCGCGGCACGCAGCTTCCTGGCTTGACAACCGTCCCGTTGGTTCCATCTTTCAAATCTCCCAAGATCGCCTGTATTGAGGCCGCTTTGCCGGGCCGCAGTGATTCCTTTTGGCTGGGTGAGTTGTGTGCGGCCGGGTGAATTGTGTGCGGCCGGATTGCAGGTTATGTGTGTTTTGGCAGTTGATGAATGTGTTTCGTACGCTGCCCCCTGTCTACGCTGCAAGTGCCACGTTGTGCGGGCCGGCGGCCCTCATATGAGGGTCGCTGCGAGCGACAAAGGTTGCTGCCCCTTGGCATAATGCTGAGGCGGCGCCACACCGGAGCCCAGGGTCGTTTGCGTTTGCCGTCGCGCGGAATCGTGCCATCCTGGAGAGTCCGTTTGTGGTTTGTTCCTCTTTGTTTCGACCCTATGGTGGCGCTGGTGCCCCTGGTGAACGGCGAGCCCCCGCCAGAGCAGCTTCAGCTGCGTTGAAGGATTGTCCAAAAACTTGCACCTCAAACACTCTCGAACATAAGGGCACATGTGCATCGTGCATGCACGGCGCTTCCCTGCGCGCCCGTCCCTCCCCTGCTTGCGCCCCACAGCCGATTGCCACGCCACGACCGTTGGCGGTGCGTGCCATTGCGCGCTCAGCACGCCATTGCGCGCGACAACGCGCGGACGTTGAGTAATCGACGACTCATGGGATACAGGGACCACATCAGGGCAAAGAGGGGGCGACTGTGCTGCGTAACGAGCAGATGCTGCCGCCACAGCCGGGGAAGGGGCGGCGCCGAGGGATCCCGGGACAACGCGTCAATGCAAACCGCATATGACTCGGAACGTCCACCACGGCCAGCCATTGCGCCGCAGCGGCCCCGCGCTGCCAGAGGGGCGGCCGCCGACTCCTCTCCATGGCTGCCAGCCAGCCCCCTCATTCCACCTTGGAAGCCACCCGCCCCGAACGCCGCTGTGACGGCGACGCCGACAGGTCGCGGCCCGCGTCGGCGGCCTCGCCGGCGCCGGGTTGGGCGCCGCCGCGCTTGGGGATGGCGTCGGTGAGCCGCTGCCTGAGGTTCGACACGGCACCTGCGGGGGGCCACGAGGCAGGGCGGGGCAGGAGGGGGCGCCGCGGGCACTCTTGAGCAGCTCTCCGGGCCAGCAGCTCAGCAGCACTGCACGCCCGCCCCAGGCGGCGCCCCGCCGCACGGCGGCCCAACGCGGGGGCCGCTCGCATGCGCCTGCCCTGCCAGGGGCCTCCTCGAGCGCCGTTGGGGCGCGTGCTAATCACGTGATGAGGGAGGCGGGGGCGCGGCTCTCACCCGAGACCCTGGCCTGTGTGGAGTCCTTTGCAGCCAGGGCGCTGGGGCGGGGCTCCCCCTTGAGGTCAGCGACCTGCAGGGATGAGTGTGCGTGAGTGTGTTTGAGCTTGTGTGTGTGTGTATGTGTGTGTGTTTGTGTGTGTGTGTGTGTTTGTGTGTGTGTGTGTGTGTGTGTGTGTGTGTGTGTGTGTGTGCGAGCAAGAGAGAGAGAGAGAGAGAGTGTGTGTGAGTGTGTGTGTGTGTGTGTGTGTATGTTTTTGTGTGCATGTGCATGTGCACGAATGCTCACGTGTTGCAGAAGACCAGCTCGACCGCGAGGTCGATTGCGGTCGACATGGTGTTGACTAGACGGCAACATGTCAGCGCGAGGCCGCGATTTGCTGACAGCCCGACAAGCGGCGGTCTCAGCTCGGCCACCTCTTGCAGGTGCTGGGCAGGTGGCCCGCTCGCGTTTTTCATCACAACAAGCTACACCCACATCAACGCGTCAGCACACGCGCGCACGCGGACGCGCACACACGCACGCACGCACGCACGCACGCACGCACACAAACACACAACCTGGGCCTTGACCCCTGAGCTCAAGGCCTTGAGACCTGAGCACTAAGCAATTTATCACTTTGGCACTTGCCACTTCAATACTGCTGCTTGCACTCAAAACCTCCTTTCACCAATCCCTCACAGCAGCGCTGCCCCCCCACCTCGTCCCGCAGTGCCTCGTTGTCGTCCTCCAGTCTGACCATGCGCGACACCTGGGAGTAGAGCACACTTAGCAGGCTGGGGGGGGCGCGGGGGTGGGGGTGGGGCGTGGTCGGGGCGTGGAGGGAGGTGGGTGGGGA